CATTGAACAGTGCACACATCTCATAAGGAAAAGTGAATTATTACGAAACACTAATACAGTGGCAGCACTATAGCTATTTTGGAATCTCGCGTTTCAGCTGGCAAAGATTGTCAACTTCTTTTTAATAACAAAATAATCTATCTTAGGTTGATAAAACTATGTGTTTCTTTAATAAATAAGTTAAATTATATATTTTAATAGTGTTTAAAAAGTGAGAACAGGGGATTTAGTGAATCTTTGTCGGTGTAATTGCCCATAGAAAACAACGAAATTTAACAAAAGTTTTTTGTTCATAACTGTTAAATGGTTAATAATATTATCTCCCCCCCCCTCCGGATTGTTATTACGGGGGCCGAAACGCGTCGTCTGGTACCCCTCCCGACTTTTCCGCACCTTTTTTAGGGGTTGTTACCCCACCCTAGAGAATTACCCACAACACATTGACAAAAACGGTACTACACTGTCTCGCTTTGATTTCGGAATGTGTAAGCAATTGAGAAGTAAGCTTATAGGCTGTTTTTGCTTACGCGTAAAAGCACATTTAGCGCATTTAGCTCTAAATGCTACTCTAAATGTACATTTATCCATACAAAATTCGTCACCTAAATGCAACTAAATGCAACTCCAATTTTGCATTAAGAATCTAAATGCTAAAAGCAACCCTGTGATCTTCCAAAATTTCCACGATTCGAACATGGTTTAAAGAGAAAAAGTGGCAACATTGCTTTTTCGGGTATACAGTTGCTAGCTACGTTTCAGTGATCGCCGATCGAGATTTCTTTTATTTTGCATTACATATTTGGATAAAGAAAAGTTAAGCAAATTCAACATCGATTTGATGCTGATAGAAATCTGGATCAATTTGTGATCAACTCGGTTCGTTTTGTTTCCTAATCAAGTGAGAAAATTTTAATTGACAGCACCGACAAATGAATATATACACAAACAAATTTTCGGTTATGGTTAAAACAATTCAAGTTTTTGTATTGAATTTTTGGTTTAAAATTTATTTTTTTATTTCCAGTAGGGTTTTTGCACATTATCTCCTGCGTGAGAATTGATCGTAATATATACGCATCTAAATAATACTAGGTTCACATATAAGTAGATTATCCTCATTTTCGAGCTTAACACCCTAATCTGTAATTATAACAAGAGATTAGCCATATAAAATTCGTCCCTTGTTAATCTGTAATTATAAAATAATCTCAGATTTAACCGATAACTTTTCGGTGTCCATCCTAGTTTTATCGATTGTTTTTGCGAAAAAGAGAAGAAATGCCAAAATGTAAAAGTAAACAAAAATGTACGCCAGCAAGTAAAAGAGGTTTGTTAAGGTACTTTTAATAATTGTTAAGTTAAAATATATTAATATTGCTTAGTATAGCAGAAAAACGTGATCACGGTGGCACAGAGAAGAAACATAACTTTTCCTTGAGATGTGAGAATAACAAGCACAACAAATTTGACGGCTAATAATCTGAGATTTGCCTGTGTAAACGGGGTGATTAAAAAACGAGCTTTGCATGAGATAATATTGATATGTGAACATAGTTTAAGAGACTGGACACGGCTGTTTGTCAAAAGCATACGAGAGCATATTTTGATATATCGATATTTGTACCCCATTTCTATTTCAAACAACTTGGCTGTTGAAAGACGTAAAGTTTAGCACGCTAATGCAAGGATGTCCAAAGAAGAGGATAAATTCGACGGATTGCTATTAGCTATAGCGGAAAAACATACAGACGGGATACCTCAGGTGAAATTAAGTTATATGTACATATATAAGTCTAAAATTTTGTTAATGTTTTTGTTTTAGTTCTTAAACACGATTGCCAGTTTCTTACGTCGGAAGACAGATTTTTTTACTGGAGCTTCTCAGACACAATGGGAAAAGTTGCTTTTAAGTGTTTTCCATAAGCAGTCTAGTTTAGCAATCGCGACTTCTAATGAACTGAAGGAAACATCTATTGATATGGATATCACAAAGAAAAGGCTTAACAAAGACAACAGGTATTGCAAAAATTAATAATAATGCTCGCAGTGACTATTTGCAGGGATAATTTTCCTATACGGAACCAGGCTTTCGAAAAAATTAAAAATGAGGTGGTGTAGAGCGGGTCCCCCTGCGAATTTTTATTACAAATTTTCATTATCTATCGAAGTGTTGATTTTATAAAATAAAAAACGCTGTAAAAACAGGAGGGTTATTATATTCAACATACATGCAAGCAATAAAAGTGTATACCGTGATTGGGTTGGCTTTAGATTGGTAACCCCGGAGTACGGAATAAAGGAAAATATGTGAGGTAGAGGAGGGTCTAATAGGGCTTGTTCGAGTTGCAATCACAACCGCAGTGTTGCGCGAGTTATTAAAGTATCACGTCCTGTGTGAATTTCTAGCAATGTATTATCAGTTGGGCAGTTGCAACAATGTTGCTATTTTTCATCAGGATGGCAGTATGCCGCTTTTATTACGTGCCTCGAACAGGCCCATAGCTGTCTGTATGAAGTTTCAAAGCGCGAAGCCTTATAGTTTTTAAGGAATTTGTTGTTAAACTGTAAATTTAACAAACTTGTATGACACTATTTCAGAATATGTAATGCACTTTCCACTAAATTTACCCGTTATTTGCACTCAATATATGTGCAGTTAGAGTGTGCACGACCAAACAAATAAATACTTTTGTTATTATCTAGGTGGGCTTTCAACCCCCAAAATTGGTCAAAGGAAATTGGAAAGGGGGTACCATTAGACGCGTCTAGACCCCAATAACAAGAATCAGAAAGCGGAAATTAATTTTTTTACCCGATCAAAAGTTATTAACAAAGAACTTTTCCACAATAGCACTTTTTTATTCACTTACTACACTAACACAAACGCACAAAATGCCCATATTTCTTTATACATACAACAACAATACTTCATTTTAGTCATATATGTCAAAATATCGCTAAATATATCACTAAAAACTTATATATTTTATTAATTAAAATGTAAACAATTTTGGTGTGCTCAACGAAAACTCACCTGCTGATGAAATAAATATTGAATATGTTTACACGGAGTACAAACTGTTATGTGGGATAATTAATTGTGGAAATAACTAAACAGATAAAATTCTCATTATATATCGAAGTATCGATAGGATATCGCGCGATTTTTTATTACAAATTGTCATATATCGAAGTATACGAAGGCTTTCTACCCCTAAAGTTGATCTAAATTTATAAAAGGGGGTACCATTAGATGCGTCTAGACCCCAGTAACAAGAATCCGAAAGCGGAAATTAACTTTTTACCCGATCAAATGTTATTAAGAAAAAACTTTATCACAATAGTACCTTTTTTATTCACTTATCACACACACACAAACGCACAAATCGCCCCTATTTCACCATACATACAACAACAATACTTCATTTTAGCCACATATGTCAAAATATCGCTAAATACATCACTAAAAACTTATATATTTTATTTATTATTATGTCAAACCACTTTTGTGAGAGTAACTTGCTCTATCTCTCAGTCAGAAGTTGCAGGTTTTAGTCCGAAGTTTTTCTTCCTGCAAGTTCATGAAAAGTGTCAAATGATAGGCAGGGTTGCATTTGTAAACAAAAACAGAACCTTAAGCGCCATGGAAACAATCAAATAAATACGTCAAGCTTTGCATATGTATGAGATTGGCCCGCAAACGTTCAAATGAACTCGTCAATTAAACAAACAATTTATTTTTCTTGTCCGCGCACTTGCTCACCACGACGATCAGAAGGCAAGTGCGCTTGTTTTTTGTCAAGCATAACGCACGGTTGATAAAGATATTTGATCGTCTCCATGGCACTTTACATTAAAAAAAAATCGTAGTAGTTACAGGAAAAGTGGTTTTTCGCGTTCCAGGTGACCTTTATTGTTTCGCTCTCGCTACTCCCTTTCTAGAGAGTAATTTTTTTTTTTATTTGACAGTTTTACAGGTTTTTACACGAAGTTATCTGGAACGCAACGAATGCAATGCAACCTTGTTTCAGAATTTGGAATTGGTATGGGGTGGTATTACGATTATGGAAGTTTAGTTATTTTCTTGGAAAGAAAAATATATATTTAATTTATTTATTTATTTATTGCAGTCATATGAAACAGACGTTCCTTACAGACTAGTGATAAAAATTAGGTACTTTAGACGATACGTGTAAAACATAAAGCACACTACAGTTTCGAGATCAATGATAAAATAAATAAACTTTTTGGAAGAGAGAAATCCAGTTCGATAGAATTCGAGATCGTGTTGAATTCGTTTAAAGCTCTTGAGATAGGAGCATTAATGGTATACTCCGTTTTACGATTTCCTCCATAAAACGGCAGAGGATTGCGAAGATTCCTTAGAGGAACATTGAAGTTGACCTGCTCTAGGAGCGTAGGGCAATCGATCACACCATTTATTAAGTTAAACGTAAAAGTTAGAGATAGCAAAGATCTTCTGGCTTCCAGAGATTTAAGGTCTATTAATAGCAAACGAGACTTATACGATGGAATGCAGCTAAGATTTCTGAGGGCAAATTTAAGAAAAACCTTTTGAACCCTTTCAATCCTATTAATTAGGTTTGAGTGGTATGGCCTCCAGATAAAAGAAGCTTATTCTAACTTAGAACGAACAAAAGATGTGTATAACAATTTAAGTGTATAGGGGTCAGAGAACATTGAACTTTGACGCCTGAGAAAACCAAGTACAGCGTAAGATTTAGAAATGATGTGACTGATATGACTGTTAAAAGACCAATTAGAGCTGAAAATTACACCAAGGTCTTTGATTTCTTTTTGAAGTTGAGTTTGAGAGAATGCATAAGACGTCGAAAGAATACTGTGACTTTTGGACAAAGTAACTTGAAAACATTTTTTAATATTCAGAGAAAGGCGAGAGCTGAGACACCAACTGTGTAGAATATTAATCTCGGACTGAAGTCTAAGCGCATCATGCGAATTTTCAATCACAGCAAAAATTTTCAAATCGTCAGCATACAGCCAAAAATTAGCAATTGAAAAACAAGAACTCACATCATTTATAAATAATACAAAGAGTAAGGGACCTAAAATGCTACCTTGAGGAACCCCCGATAAGGCAATGAAAGATTCCGAAGAATAACCATTAACAGAGACCACACAGCGCCTATCCGACAAATAAGATTTGAGCCATTGCAAAAATACTGAGTGGAAACCCAGTGAGGCTAGCTTAGTTACCAACATACTATGCGAAACTCTATCAAATGCTTTAGCAAGATCAGTGTAAATGCAGTCGACTTGGAAACCGTTCGAGATAGCTGCAATACAATACTCACTAAAGACGCCTAGATTAGTAACCGTAGATCGGTTGGGGACGAAACCATGTTGATTGGGTGAGACTAGACTTTTTGTTGCGAAATACATTTTCTCCTTGACGATAACTTCAAAAAGTTTGGAAATTGTTGAAAGTTTCGAAATGGGTCTGTAATTACAGACATCACTTTTGTTGGCACTTTTAAGAATAGGGGTAATTGAAGTCAATTTCAATTCATCATAGAAAATACCGGAGGCTAGAGACCTATTGAAAATAATAATTTAAAGGAGAGATCAAAGCAGGGCACTTCTTTATAAACTTTGAAGAGAGCCCATCAATATCTTGTTTTGCAGAAGCTGATAGATTTAAAACGCCATTAGCAATATCGTCAGATGAAAGTCTAAGGGAGCCAAAATTAGTAGAACTCACACTAGCAGAGAAACTAGAATCTACAGTAGGGTTATCATCTACAAAATGAGATCAAAAAATGCAGCAAATAGATTTGCAACTTCAGCTGGAGTGGAGGCACATTTATCTTCAAAAAATACAGCTGAGGGAATACTAGAGTTGTTCTTCTTAGACTTAATAAAATGTCAGAACGCTTTCGGATCTTCTTTGGTATTGGATTCAATGCCTAAGATATAATTTCTGTAGAAGAATTTATTCAAGCAGTTGAACTTTTTAAGATGGACCTGATATTTTTCAAAGAAAAACTAAGTCACGATTATACCACGGTAATTTATAGGAATGAATTAAAACAAAAATCAGAAATTACAGATTTGAAAGTAGCGAAGCATTTAGCTACATCGGGGCAAGAGAGTAAGCTTTCCCAATTTAATTCACCCAGTAATCTATCTAACTTGGGATAATCGCAGGCTGCATAATTAAACTTAGGTTTGTCACCAGCATTGAACGACGGGAATACATAAAATTCAAATTTTAGTAAGAGAGGAACATGATGCATATTAGATGGAGTGATCGGATTGTGGCAAACTTCGATGTTACACTTAATGTTATCACTAATAAATATGAGGTCAAGAATTCTATCCAACTTGTTAACAAAATTATTGATTTTTAATAAAGTAAGGCTTAAGAGGCTATATATAAAGTACACTTCACGGGACGCATTGACATTAATTGGCGAGAGACCAGCATTGGAAAAAGATGTGGACCAAGATACATTACAAAGATTAAAATCGCCTAACACACAAAGGTCGTCATCTCCTAGCTTATTTAATAAAGCATTGTTCACTTAAAATCGGTACGCGTTCCAGCAATTCCTGTACGGCAATTGTTTGAATGTATTAAAAAGTTGCAATGCAGATCGTTAGACAATAGATCTACCATTATGAGGTTGAAATTTCATAGTACTGGCTTTTAATTTGACAGTTTTATTCGCGTTGGAAGTGGCTGCTCAAAAAATAACGTTGAGCAAATCTGTTGAAAATCCGACACTCTCGAGATCAAAAATTAAATTAAAATGAAATATACCAAAAACTTCTAATTTTCCTCAAAAAATCAATGAATGGATTCCTTCTGCTTAAACTAACAGAGTAAGCTAATCATCAAAAAAAATCATTTCGCACCAGCTTAAGGATAAGGCTCTTTACCTCAATTATAAAAAAAAAAATCGGCTTATCAGAAGAAGATCGCGCGAGAGAATTGGAAAACGATTATCCACAGTTCAGCGAATGGAAGCTAT